AGGCAAGGAGTGGTGCTCTGAAATTTCCCAATATTTAAGGGGCAAGTAGAGAAAGAAAACTCAAAGAAAATTATAGAAAAGCATGAAAATAGCAGACAAAGTTTCCATCATAAGTTAATGGAAAAAAGTCAGGAAGGAAAGGAGCCAAACAATCTTTCAATGTTTTAAAGAATTCAAATAAGAAGACAGAAAGAATCCCTAGGTTTTACAGCAAAGAATCCATGAATGACCTCAAGGAGAGCAGAATGTAGTGAGCTTAGAAATGAAGAGGAAGAGGTAAGTATATGACAGCACTGACTACGGAAAACCCTTTCCAGAATCCTGTCTCAGAAATGAAAGGCAGAGTTCAAGGGAAGAATCCGGAGGAAAAGAGACTATAAAGACACAGTAAAAGGAATGTAGAGCAGAAAGGAAGAGTGAACACAGATAGAAAAATTAGTCTGAGACAGAAAGAAGCTCTGAAATAAGAGATAAGGAAGAGCTTGAAGGTAGGGAGGTCACTGCTTTTTTATGTTCTCAGGGAAACTACAAGTGAAGTCACATGGTAGAAGTTTGAGCATTGTGGAATGAGTTTGAAACAGCCATTCTGAGCAAGTGGAAGGGAACATGATCAAGGATGAAAGAAAAGACTAATGAACTATGCTATAATGCAAATGAAGTTTGAAAAGCTCCATGGCTAGAAGTAACTTTCTTATACCTTAGTTTCTAATTCATAAGATCCAAGCCTATATATCCCATTGCATCATATATGGGCAAGGTTATCTACACATAATGCATAGACTGACTAAAGCGTACCAGAAGCTGGTCACGTATTCAGGAATAGCCTTAGAAGTGCTGGAGTCTAAAGGGACTGCCCCACAGGCCTCAGCATCTCTTGATGTTTCAGCTTTTGCCTCTGTTCCTTCTTTTCAATCTTTAGAGGGATGGTAAGGGCCCTAGTCTGACTGAATGAAGATGAGGCTTTCTTATAAGAGGTCACCTTGCTTGCATGTTACTCTAGAATTAGAGTCTATTCTGGCTTCTCTGAGACTCAGCTAAGGTTGGCATTCCTGAGTAACATTAGGTAACTTCTGAGAAGATCTAAGGATTGGTGTTAGGGAGCCTCAAATCTCTCCCTAGGCTTCAGAAGAACCATTTTTGACTCCAGAGATCAGCAAGGGGGAGGCTGGACCTGATGCCAGGTAAGTAAGGCTGCTTCCAGCAGTGAAGTAGAGTCAGAGAAAACCTTCACCTGGGATTTCTCTGTTTGGGTTCATGAAGTAACTTCTGTCCATAATTAGAAGAGGGGAAAAGGGGAGGAACTCCCAAGAAATAAGCTGACCGAACCTCAGTTCTCTTTATGTTTTTGTTGGGGGGATGTATGTGTGTGATACTAGGGTTTGAATTCAGCATTTCACACTTTAAGAGATAGGCACTTTACCACATGAGCTACACCTCCAGTACCACATTCTGATTGCCCATGGGACCACAGTGACTTCCTTATATAGGGTAGATTGAGCCTTCACTCTACCCACTGTCACTCTGCACCTCAGGTACTTGAAGCTAGTGCTGAGGAAAGGGCCACCTAACCAGTGGAGTCAAAGAGACCCTGGAAATTCCATTAGCTTATATTGGGGTATTGAGGAAAGCCCTTTCTGATAAGGCAACATCTGAGTGGAAATCTGGAGGAAGGGAGGAACAAACCATGGAGATAACTGGTGGGAAATTGTGCAGGCTGAAGGAACAGCAAGCCAAAGACCACAGTCTGGCAAATGCTTTGAGTGTTAGGAGAAATAACAAGGATGCCAATATGGTTGGGTATGGCAGCCAAAGGAAGTGGTAAGAGATTAGATATATATGGGCAGGTTAGTGGGGGTGACATAATGTGGGGTAGATTGTAGAATATTGTAGACCATAATTAAGAATTTTGAGGGGGGAGGATGGGAGGAGGAGGAGGTGGCATAAACAATGTGTTTACAAGTAAGTAAATGTAAAAACAATAAAAGAAAAGAAAAAATTTTAAAAAACAATTTTGGATTTTACAGATAGCCAGTGGGATGGTTTGGGCATACTTGGACTGATGTACATTTTCAAAGTATCATTCTAGGCTATGAATTGATTAGAGTGGGGCAATTACAAGGGCAAGGAGACAGACCTGTAATGGTGGCTAGCATGAGAATAGTTATATTGAAGGTGCTGAGAAGTTGTGGAATTCAGAGTATATTTTGAGACATCGATGATTGGATGTGTTGATGGACTAGATGTGAGGTGAAGAAACAGAAAGGAAAAGCAAGGTTAAGTCTAATGTTTTGGGCCTCATGAATTGTTAGGAGAATTATGAATTAATCCATACAAAACATTTGGAACAGTGACTGGCAAGTGCTCAGTGAGGGTCAAATACTATTATAGTATTATTTAAAAAGTTGTGGTGGAAGGCAGTGTTTGCTTTGTGATTGCTGACTAGAGTCATTTTCCAAATAATCAGGCAACAGCTTTTAGACGCTGAAGTTTCCTTGGCACTTTTATGTCAGGTTTCCCCCTTTCCTGCCAGGCAGCATCAGTGAGTACAAGAACCTTCTTCTTCTGTAAGATAGGGATAGTAATCCTAACTCAAAGAACTGTTGCTAGCTACAAAGGGGCACATTTGCATGATTTGCAGATTGCTATAGTTTGGATCTCAATGTCCTTCAGAGGCCTACCTGTTAAACGCTTGGTCTCCAGGTGATTGCAATATTGGGAAGCGATAGAACCTTTAAGAGATGGGGCCTAAAGAGAGGTTTTCTAGTCTTTAGGGATGTGACCTTGAAGGGGATAGTGGGAACCAGGTCTTTTTCTTTCTTTTGTGTTGTGCCCATGTGCTACACACTCCCTGCCTTGCCACAGGTCAAAAAGCAGCAGGGTCAACCAACCATGGACTGAAACCTCCAAAACTGTGAGCCAAAATAAACCTTTCCTCTTTATATAAGTTGATATCCGATATCAGGTATCTCGTTAGAGTAATAGAATGTTTACTAACAAAGATGCTTAGTAAGTGTTGCTCCTGCCCACCTTCTAGACTAGTATGGTATGTGGCCCAGGAGCATGTGTATCATCTGGAATCTTTGTTAGAAAATCAAAGTCCTGGCCTCACATCAGAACTACTAAATTACAATCTGTGTTTTAGCAGAATCCCTAGGTAATTCTGTGTGCACATTAGAGAAGCACTGTTCTAGAGTTTCAGGGCCATTTAATCCAACAACCTCTTCAGGTTACAAATGCAGAGAGAGAGAGAGAGAGAGAGAGAGAGAGAGAGAGAGAGAGAGAGAGACTTACTTTATTTTACACATTAAGTTTGTTTTACCAAGAGTCCTAAATCCCAGTCACGAACCAGATCCCATCTAGCATAAAGAAGCCAGAAATCTTTCTATACCCTAGCATCTCAAAACTGTCTACCATAACCCAGGCACTGTGTAGCACAAGATGTAGAAAAATAAGAAAGACTGTCCTCTGGGACAAAAGGCAGAGGGTTCCTTCTTTGGTTCTTCCTTTCCCTCCTCAGGGCAGAATTAAGAGGTACATAGGGTAGATCTTTTCATTTTAATCTCACAGGTGATATGAGAGGTCTGAGAGTGCATACATTCCTGTCTTTATATCTAATATGTACTTACACACTACCTTCTAAGTCCCAGTCATTATTCTAATTTTACATATCTTAACACTATTTTGTATGTAAACTCATGTAATCCTCCAAATAATCCTATGAGGAAGAGACTATTATTGTCTTATTTTAAAATGAGGAAACTGAGATACAGAGAATTTAAGTTACTTGCCCAAGGTCACATAGCTAGGAAGAGCCAGACCTGTGATTCCAACCCCAGCAGTTTTCTCTTCTATGCCTGAGTCCACTGTAACGGTCTTTGTGGCCACATTCTGGTCTCAGCTATTATTGTGGAATAAATATGGAATTAATTTAGGACAAAGTCCTAAATTTACAAAGTCACCCCTGTGTTTATTCTTCCTTTTCCCACCAAAGGCTTTTCAGCTCCTATACTGAGACCCAGTTTTGAACTCCTGAGTATAGCCTTGGCCCAGGCCAGGTGGGGCCCCTCAGAGTCTGATCATGGCACATTATCTGGTTTCCTTTCCCATACTTTGGCTCTCTATCCATAAGGCTACTTGTCCCTCCTATTTTGAGCCCTCCCAATCCACTGAAGATCATTTATCTTCCCTGGCTATATACTCTCCTTTTTACTCTTTATTCCCACCTCCTCTCCCAACTACCCTTATTTGTATACTGTGTGTTGTTCTGTGACTTATCTCCCCAACTCCTCTGCAAGTTCTTCAAGGTCAGTGACAACATTCCAGGACTTCCCCACTGCTGCCTGTGAGATCATAGACTCATTAACTCTCAAACTGTCATTGCTGGAAGAGCCCTTAGGGACTACATAGTCCAACCTCTTCCTTGTGAGGATAGAGAGACCCAGGGCGCCAGAGACGGTGAAGGGTTGGTTAAAGTCAGAGCCAAGTCCACAATCCAGTTTTCCTTCATTTTTAGTAGTCTTTCCCCAGCTTCATATCTCCTCTCCTCCTCCCGTCAAAATCCTACTAACTCTTCTGAAGGCAAGAGTATAGAAAAAAGGCAGAACGACGTCTCAGAGTGATTTTTCCATGTGTGTGAAAACCCTTACTTTTCCAACACTAATTTTCCCTGTTAAACTCCAGAACTGCTAACTCACTCACAGAACTTTGAAGAGCTGAGCTGCATTTAGCTGCCTCCAAACACTTGACCCTCCCCCTCTCCCTTCCTACGGACTGGGTTGGACCCACCCCCCTGGCTCTCTGCCCTCTGCCCGCCCCTGCTTCAGTCCCAGGAGGTTTTGCAACTCCAGCAATACCAATGGCTCAGCCATTGTTTACCCGCCCTGGCCAGACTCACGCTGTCCCTTGCGGGGGCGGGGTTTCTTTGTGCAGCCACGCCCAGACATATCAAGTAGTCCAATAGCTGTCCCTGGAGCCTCACCGAGGGGTGGGGGAAGTAGGCGTAGCATGAAAGAAATAGAGGGTGCATTTGATCTGTTGTTGCTACACGTGGATGTGAAATGAGTCAAGCCGAACTTTGATTGCAACGGATTTCATCTACAGTGAGAGCGGTATGGAGGATGAGGGCTGAGGGGCGGCGGCTGGGCGGGGTGTCTGGTCTGCTCTGAGGTACGTTTGTGCTGGAATCCCGTTTTAAGATCTTTCCGCCCATCCTTACATGGTAAGTATGGGAACACCCCCTTGTCGTGGCAAGGTGTCTGGGAACTGTGGCACCTAGGAATGAAAGTACAGTATCATTACCAGGATATCCCCCCGCTAGGATTCTGCAAAGTCAGAATGTCTGGAAGGTGTCCCGTGGCCATCTGTTGGTTCATCCATTTGTGACCGGAGAGTACTGGCTGATGTGTTAGGAACCCAGACTGATATATTCATAGAGCCTTGGCGAGACAGTTCTCGCCTGTGTAGGTTCTTACTGGACCCAGATGGCCACTGGGAACATGCCCGGACTTGTCCAACCACCTTTCGCATCAGAGGTTGGGAGATAAGGAAGAGAGGGAGACTGGGAATTAGCTGTGGGGAGGAGGGAGTGGATCACACTGACCACGTGTAGCATCCCAGGGGAAGCTGAACTGCTGGCCCACCCACGTGGTGTCCTGGGCAAGTCAAGGCTTGTGTGAAGAGCTTGCTGACTCTGAATGGGGGCTTTCAGTCCGCCCCTCACCCACCCAGCTGAGGGCTGAGTTTCACTTGATTCCTCCCTCCTGGAAGCCCAGCCCATGGCAGTGATATTTTGATCCTGCCTCACCCCAAACACTGGCCAAGGCCCAGGCAGCTGCAAGAACTGGGGAGACAAGAAGAGACCCGCCAGAGAACAGGCTAGGAAAACAGACTACAGGGTCTGATTTGGACAGGTGTTGTCAGCATCACCAATGTCATGCAGAGTAGCTAGGGTAGGAAATTGTGGCGCATCACCCCCAGATAACTCTGCTGACTCCTTCTTCACCCAGCCTTCATTCAACTTAACATAGCTACTGAGCACCAACTCTGTCACCAAGTGTGAGACAGTGAGGTACCCAAGATACAGGCTGTGCCCACTGGGGCCTGACAGACTCACCATGGGAAAGAACACAAGCAAGTATAACACAACGGGCTTTAAAGGTGCAATTAAAATGCTCTGAGGTTGTCAAGTAAAGATCACATTAACTTGTGACCTTGGACAAATAGACTTCCCCCTCTCTGAGCTTCTGTAACTCCAACTAAAGTGGAGATAATAATAGCACCAACCTCATTGAGTTATTGTGGGGATTATATGAGATAATCCATGCAAAATACTTGTACAAGCTTAGCACAGTGGCTAGCCCAAAATAAGCAGTCAAGATGTGTTAACTATTATTATTTAAGATAGGCCAAGGAACATGGATAAGATTTCAACAGGTGGAGATAGGAGAGAAGGCAGTTCAAGCAGAGAAAACAACAGGAACAACTGCTTGAAGTCAGAGAAGCTGAGAGCATGTAAAAAGAACATTAGCTAAATTGGATTTTACAGCACAATTAGGGGGAAAAGTAGAAGTTCAAGTTGCCATGTTAGATTGGTGGTAAACCACAGAAGACTTTGGATGCTTGAGTTTCATTTTGATTTGGCAGACAGTAGATAGCTACTGAAAGTTTCTGAACTAAAGAAGTCAGACCTGTACTTTAGGAAGACTAATCAGGTAAACAAGAGTCAGCTAGATTGGAACAGAAAGAAAACACAAGAGGTAGACAGACTATATGCAGAGAGGGGACAAGGTTCTGGTACTGAAACGGTGCCTGTGGGAATAGAAAGGGAGGCAATGTTAAAAAGTTGTATCTTCAGGCTGGCAGGCTCAAGCAACAGAGAGCCTGCCTAACAAGCACGAAGCCCTGAGTTTAACCTCCAGTACCACCAAAAAAGTTGAATTTTCAGAAATTTAAAGATGATAAATTATAGGAGATTAAAAAGGAAGAAAGAGACATTCAGAATCTCTTGGAGTTTTGTTAGACCTTGAAAGGGTGTGCATTCCCATTCTACCTCTATAGGTGCTGCAGTAGAAAGAACATCTACTTTCTGAGCTAGATGCAATTGTTTTTAAGTCTTGGATCTGTTACGTTCCTGCTGTTTGGGATCCTAAGCACATTATGCACTCAGGATTCCCAACCAGGATCAGTACTTCCATAGGTCATTTAAAAATACATGGGGATGGTATATTTTTTTCCACAAAGACTGAGGTGCTACTCCCTTTAGTGCTAACCAGTTTGATCAAGAGTTGTTCCTCCCACCCACCTATAAAATTAGTAGTAAGCCTAGTAAGAAATTTTGAATTTTCTTAGGCCTCTGTTTTCCTGATAATGTGGGAGAATAATACCTACATCCTAGTGTTGTTGGGAGGTTTAAAAAAGGTAATCCTTATGAAGGCTCTATCATGGTACTTAACACATAGTAGGCTAACATGACTCATAACTTTCTTTTACCCCAATTGAGTCCACCTTAAATTAGCCTTTCTTGTCTCTGCCTGAATACTTCCAGAGAGAAAGCCTTCACCATGCTCTAAAAAAAGCCCATTCTTTCCAGGGAAAGACTTGATTGTTAAAAGTTATTACTTTTGTTAAACCGAATTTAGTTTCTCTCTTGTTCTGAAATGTCCTAGTAATTTACCCTCAGGCCACTGAGAGCAATCTGTTTTCTTTTTCATGAGCGTACTTCAGCTATCTGAAGACCAGAGACAGGATTCTCCTACATCTGTTCCCAGGTCAAACAGCTCAGTTACTTCCATTTCTCATATGGCATGGGTTCAAGTCAAATATGAGCCTGAGGTTTGAACTATATACATTGGGGTGGCAACACCTTTTGAGAGGTAAGGAACACTGCAAAAGAAAGATGATCGATGAATGTGACAAATTTCTTTATAACGTATCATTTCTTTCAACTGTATAATTCTACTGATCTTCACCCCAAATAGGGAAAGTGCAGAGAAAATGAAACTTGCCAGAGATCCTTTAGGTGTTACATTTCTGAGCCAAAACTGGAAGCCACATTTTTCTTACTCCAAGTACAATTTGGTTTTTTTTCTGCTTTTTTTCTAGCTGTTGGGATTTAAGGTGTCAATTCTGACACTAGAGCGATGAAAACCAAAAGAGTATAAATCCTCCAATTGTCTTACACGAGTTATTCCTTCCTCGAAAGTTCTTATTACGAGAAACCATTTAGGGGCACAAAGTACCTAATCCCAGAGGAAAAATAAATGATAACTCTGCCTAGAAACCTATGACAGGTCACATAAACCTGCTTTAGATGTCGTTTTGACCTGCTCTACTTAAATGCCTTCTGCAGAGAGTAAGGCATCTTTTGGGGTCATTACTCAGAGCTGAAGCTTAAATTTGAAGCAGAAGCTATTTTCTTTGCTTTCTGAAGACTGGCTCCATCCATGTGTTCTTCCCTTAGGGGCTTAATAAAAATATAGGTCAGTTTTACCATCAGTCTATAAAAATGGAAAGACCATTATTATTCCATGCTCATGAGAGATGTAAGGATGGCTATAGTCTGTCTTAGATTAAAGTTAACTGCCTATATCTCAATGTTTCTCAGCAGACATGGCTCTCCTACAGTTGGATAATATTCTTTATTCACCTCTGATTTCCCCTCTTGTGACTAAGTCCTAACCAAATGCCTAGCATAGAAGACATTTATCAAGAAATTTTTGAGTGTCTGAAAGTCCATCCTGGAGTGATTACTATATCCCCCAAGACCCCCCAGAAGGCATCATCACATTCTAAAAAACAAAGGAATTGCCACGTCACATATGGTGGAATTGAACAGTAAGATGTCATTACTTCCAGGAGGTTGTTAGTCACCATCATGGATAAGCCAAAGGAGTAGGCCGAACGATTTCCTTCTAAGAGCCACCTCTTCCTGACTCAGTCCACCCTTTGGAATTTTTCCCAATGAGGCTATAATGAGCCAATATTAGGTTGTAGGAGTGAGGAGAAAAAAGAAGCTAGAGTCTTAGTAATATAGTCGTTGGACAATTTGTCTTGAAGCTGGACCCACTACTCTATATTTGGGAAATAAACAAGCCACTGGACCCTGAATATAGACTTGCATTTTAGTCCTGGCTCTGCCACTGACCAACTATGTGACTTTGGGAAAATTCTGTTCTTTCTATGGGCTTCATTTTCCCCCTCTGTGTCATAAGGAAATTGAGTTAGGTTATCTTGAAGAACCCTTTTAGAATTCTACAACTGTATCTTTCCAATTACTTAGATAGTTTGAAGTTTTCACCAATTGTCAAAGAGAAGAAAAACATAAACCATAATGGAATATGCTGTCTTGTGAGTACTGAGGTGTGTGACACTATAGGAATTCACGTAGAGCTGGTTGGTATTTCTCTCCTGGGCAAGAAGCTGGGACTAAGATAAGTTTTAAACTCCCCTTTGACTCTGAGATTACCAGAGACTGAAGATTATTTCACAGAATGTGCATTTACAAATGAAATCATAGGTTTATTTTAAACAGCTTCTCCTTATCTCCACACCCCCTCTAAGTTGTACACTTTTCTTCCTTTTCCTGGAAAATTTTTTTTAAGGGCAAAAAATATTTTGGCGGTAGTATCTCATCCTCGACAGACAGGCCTCATTCTATGGGCTGATTCTCCCACTCTTGTGAGGATGTGGGTTGTGCTTGCAAATGCCCAATGTTTTATGTTTCAACTCCTGTAGGATATTTTATTCTCTGACCTGTGAGGAAGGGATGGAGTACTTGAAAGAATTTGGATTGTTTTTGGAAAAAAGGGACTATTGTTATTGATATATTCAGAGAGAAATGGCTATTCTAGATTGCTTGGTAAAATGGACAGAGTGGAGAAAATGTGGGGAAGACCAAAGAAATCAATAAAAATCAGAAATTAGATCACTTGACTGAGTTTTATCCCATTCCCATCTATGAGAAGATATCATACCATGAATTTAATTCCATGCTGGAACAAATCAGCCAATTGCATTCATGGGAAGTCGATGAAATCTCCACTCCCAGTATGCCGATGGGATAACTCATTTTTGACAATTCCGTAATTTCATGGTGCCTGATGGTGGTCAGTACATGAACAAGTGACTCACTTTGGCTAAGGTGACAATAGAGTAAATTGGAGGCTTTGGGTATTAGCTGAATGTTGATTTGGCCTGTAGCTTGTCTCCAATGCCCTTTGCTCCTCATCTCTGGGTGGGATAATAACAAGAATCATAGCAACTCCTCACATGTGTAATCTGGAGTTTCCAGAACACTGCCACATACATTATCTCATTTTTTCCTTGATCATCATCCAAAGTAGTTTCTGCCTTTGCTCCCACGTGGGAAGATTGTTTCAGCAACAATTAAAAGGATATTTTTTTCCCTTATAGTCAGCCCAGAGTTTACTGGTTTCAGTTTCATCCCATTTCATTTATTAATTACATCTCTATATTTCTGGCTGCAAAATTCTTTTTCTTCCTTTTTACAATTCTTTTTCAGCAATTGCCAGAGACTAACCAAATATTTATATTTTTAACCTATATGCACACATGTGTTTTGAAAGAGAAAGAATTTGACTCATATAGTTAGTGTTTGTTTTTGCCTGGGTGGAAATGGTCCACTTCAACTGGTTATTAGTTCTCTCTGTACAGTGACACTGCTTTTAATGAGAATGTTTCTTCTTTTCTACCCAGCTGGGACATTACTTCTTGTTTTGTGCACTGGGATAAAGGACAAAGTAACAGGTGAGTTTTCTTCAATTTTGCACAGCCCTGTCATTCTCCTTTATTGATGTTCTAAACCTGATGTTACTGGACCAGATGTTGCTATCCCTAACAGCTGAAGTTCTTTAACCACTTTGGAAATGGAGAGAGAAGCCTGTTATAAAATTAGTAATGACCTGAAGCCTCTGAATGATTTCTATTCCAGTACATATTTTAACATATTTGAACAAAAAAAAGACAATTTATTTTCTTTTGGTGGTACTGGGGTTTGAACTCAGGGTTTCATGCTTGCCAGGCAGGTGCTCTACCACTTGAGTCACTCCTCCAGAGACAATTTACTTTTACTACATGCCCTTGAAACAAAATCAAAATAACACATCCCCAGTTCTGACTCTCCTCCACCATCTTTTACCAATAGCTGACACTTGCTCATCCCTTTCTTCTTAAAAGTGCATCCTGTACTACTTTTCTATTCTTTCTTCCCTGGCTTCCCCTTCTTGGTTGAGAGATGTTATTCTCTTTCACTTTCATTTATGGCTGTTGCTTAACATTTTGTTCTTGGCATTCTTCTTTACTCATGTAAGCCTCTGCCACGATTTCTTTTTTGAGGGGGTACTGAGGATTGAATTCAGGGCCTGCACCTTGAACCACTCCTCCAATTCTTTTTTTGTTTGCTTTTTTTTTTTTGGCGAAGGGTTTTTTCGAGATAGGTTCTCGTGAACTATTTGCCTGGGCTGGCTTTGAACCAGGCAATTCCCCCTGGTCTCTGCCTCCTGAGTAGCTAGGATTACAGGCGTGAGCTACCGGCACCTGGCTGCCATCAGTTTTTTAGCCCAGTGGTTCTCAACTCCCATACAAAGTCCCCCAGATGATTCTAATATGCAGTCATGAGCAAAAGCTGCTGTTTTGATCTTTTTATGCACTTGACTCATTTCCAGTTCTAACCTGCATTCTACACATTTCAGCTGCCTGCTGGACATAGCCACTGAAATGATCCTCTCTTCCTTCCAACTCTTCATATTTGAAATGATTAAAAAAATAATTTATTGTCTCTTTTCTACCAAGCAACTACACTTTCACTGTTCACAGCCTTGGGATTCTCTTGACTTCCCAGCCAGGAACTCCCATCTCATAATCTTCTGTGGATCATATCTCTCTTGGTTCTCACTTTCTAAGGTCTGTATCTTCCACCATCACTTCTTCTGATATCACCTTTGTCCTGACCCTAGTTCCTAAGGCTTGTCAGCAACCCCGTCAAACCATTGTTTAAGGCAAAAATCAGATTAATGTTCGGAAAATGCATTTTGCTCACCTAAAATATCAGTCAAGAAAAAATAAAATTCCAGTGAAGGCTCCATTCACTGCTTTAGGTCATGTCTTGGAAAGCACGTCACAATCATGGGCCCTAAATTACCTTTGAGTTTGGCTTAATTTCTTACTAACTAAATAAACTTAAGGGAATCCTTTTTCTCTGAGCCTCAGTTGTTTTCCTTTTGTTTTAAATCTGTTTATAAGTGACAGTAATCCCTAGCTTCCTCCTAGGGTTTTTGTGAAGGTCTATTGAGCTAATTGACGTGAAACCTTTTACAAACTGGGGAACCTTTCATTCAGGCAGAAAATTTTTACCATTATTCTATTCATTTTTACTGTTTGCTCTAACACAAGTTTTTATTTAGTGCCTACTATGTGCCAGCCACTATTTTAAGCCCCAGGTATAAAGCAGTAAATTTAACAGACACCATGGTCTCATGCTGCTTACATTCTAGTTAGAGAAAAAACAGGCAATAAAGATGTAAATAAGAAAAATATATGGTATGTCAGCATAAGTGCCATGCAGAATAATTTAACAGGAAAGGGGACATAAGAAGTATGGAAGAAAGTCACAATTTTAAGAGTAGTCAGAGAAACCTTATTAAGAAGACAGTGTAAGAACAGAGAAAATGAGGGAACTAGTAATGTGGGTATCTGGGGAAAAACATTCCTCTCTTGGGCAGGTGTGAACACTTCAAGGTACAAACTTTCCTGGTTGATTTAAAGATTAGCAAGGAGGTCAGCATGGCTAGAGTAAGGAAGGGGAAGAGTAGTAGAATATGGGCCAAAAAGCCCATGGGAAGATAATATGGGAAAAAGATAATATGGGAAGTTGAGGTAGGGAGATCATCTAAGGTCTCATAAGTTATTAGAAGAAGTTAAATTTTATTATGAGTGAAAGAGGAGCCATTGATATGGATTTTTAGGTTGTAAATGATATAACCTAACATGTTTAAAAAGAACCACCACCCATTTGCCCCTCTATCTCCCATCCTTTTAGGAAAAATATGGGTAGGCCCCAGGTTACTCTTTTACCAGATTCCCTCTAACTGTAGAGAGACAAAAAACTTTTTTCTGACTGTACCTTACATTCAGACAAAACAGAATGTGAGAGCCAAAAGAGCCCTTATAACAGTGATATTTTCAACAGTGATTGCACATGAGACTCACCTGGTTAACCAAATAAAGTCCAGATGCTCAGGATACACCCCTTACTAAATACATCAGAATCTCAAGGGTGACACCCAATTATCAATATTTTTGGAGCTCCTAATGTGCAGTCAGGAATGAAGACCACTGGTCTAAGAGATTAGCCAAATGAGTTCCCTCATGATAAAAATGGGGACCTTGAGTCTAGTGTAGTGATATGTTCCTGATGGCAGATCTGAAACCATTCATCATTGAGTTAAAACAGAGAATGCAAAATTCACAGATAATGGGAAGGAAGAAGATAAGATGTTTCATAGGTTGGAAATAGGTAATGGATAACAGAAACCTGGGATAGGAGTTGCCCTGGGCCAGATTACAAAAGGGAAAGCTGAGGACCAGCAGCAAATGGTGACTCAGCATCCGGTTTCTGGGCCCAAACATCTGGAAATTATGATGGCACTATACAGATTAGAAGGTTGATTTTCAAGGAAAGGAATATTCTTAAGTTCAGGCTGAGCAACTGCTATGATTTTGCCAATCCAGTACATGTGGGTGGGTGAGGGGGCCCACAGAAGAGGAATGGGCAGCATGGACCAGCTGCTGTCTTCCTCACCCTTTTTAATCTCAGACCTACTGCACTGTCCAGGCAAAGCAAATATCCTGAAGTCCTGAGTTCTTAATTTAGACTTGTCATCCTTTCCTGCCTACCCATCCTAGATAGAGAGAGCATGTTTCACCCCACAGGCATGTGTGCAAGTTGAGAAGAGCAGCAGCCGCAAACTGTGGTCAGAGCAGCTGTACATCCAGCAGCCTAAGTACCTCACATCCAGCAGAAACTTGGCCAACATTGATTATTCAGGGCACAATGAGCTAATGTGGATATTATTATTGTCAGCCTCATTGCTTCTCCTCTTCCCTATCTACCCATATTCTTACTCTTTTAGGTTATTGTTGGGGAAAATAACTTAATAGGATTGGGGGAAATGAGTGGGGAGAGCATCCATAGGACAAAGATAGGCCAAATAAAGAGACACTAGTTGTTTTTCCATTTATCACCCTTCTGGTTAAACTCATATATTATATATATTATACATAATATATATAATTTTATATTAATGTATATTATATAAATATATAATTTAATATATATTTATGTATATTTATAGCACTTATTGAATTTGTCTATTTGAAAAGTTGGGCAAAACAAATCATAGTTGTAGACACATTTTATTTGGGGGCCAAGTTAAGCAATATCTATTGGAACAGGGTATTGCATAGTATTAAAAAAATATGGAGATAGAGGCATGGATCAAGTTGTAGAGTGTCTGCCTAGTAAATGGAAGGCCCTGAGTTCAAATCCAAACATTGTCAAAAAGAAAGAAAAAAAGAATAAAGAAAAACATGAAGAATCACCTTCATCTTGTGGTGTAATTTGTGGTATAACTCACATACAAAATTCACCCCTTTAAAGTATACAACTCACTGGCTTTTAGTGTATTCACAAAGTTGTATAGCTATCACCACTATCTATTTCCATGCGATTTAATCACTCCAAAAGAAAAATCCCACTCATTAACAAGTCACTTCCACCATCCTCCCACCCTCTGGCAAATACTAAGTCCACTTTTTGTCTCTGTAGATTGCCTGTTCCAGACATTTCATGTAAATGGAATTTCATAATGTTTGTACCTTTCTGTCTGACTTCTGTCATGTACTATAATGTTTTCAAGGTTCATCCATATTATGCATGCACCGAATACTTCATTCCTTTTTTTGAGTAGCACTGGTATTTGAACTTGGGGCCTCACGCTTGCTAGGCAGGTGCTTTACCACTTGAGCCACTCCATCAGCCCTTCTTCATTCCTTTCTTTGGCTGAATAGTCTTTCATTGTATGGGCACCATGTTTTGTTTATTCATGTATCAGTTGATGGACATTTGTTTTTCTCTCCTTTTTGGGTATTATGAATAATGCTGCCAGGAATGTTTATGTTCAACTTTTTGTGTTTACACTTGTTTTCAGCTCTTTGGGAGTATAATACCTAGGATTACAATTGCTAGGCTATAGCTTAAACTGTATGTTGAACATTTTGAGGAAATGCAAAACCATTTTCTAAAGAGGCTGAACTATTTTCAGTTCACACCAGCAGTAGTAAAGGTTCCAGTTTCTCTATATCCTTAGCTACCCTAGTGGGTGTAAAGTGGTATTTCATTGCAGTTTTGATTTGCATTCCCCTTATTGTTAATGATACTCAGCATGTTTTCATGTACTTATTAGCCATTTGTGCATTTTGGAGTAGTATCTGTTCAATACTTTACCTATTTTAATTTGTGTTGTCTTTTTTATTTTTGACTTATAAGGCTTTTCAGTGTATTCTAGATACAAGTCTCTTATTAGCTATGTGATTGGAACATTTTTGTCCCCCATTATATGGATTATCTTCTCACATTTTAAATTTTTAAAGATTTTATTAATTATACATGTTAATGAGTTTCAGTGCAGTGTTTCAATATGTGTTCAGTGAGAACTAACCAAATCCAGCCTCCCTTTATCAAATCTCCCCATCCTTCTCATTCTCTTTATAGTGTCCTTTGAAACACAAAGATTTGAATTTTCAAGTTCTACATTTGTGTACCTTAATTTTTTCTTCTGTTGCTTGTGCTTTTGGTGTTATATCTGAGGAACCATTGCCTAATCCATGATCACAAAGATTTATACCTATATTTTCTCAAAAAAATAACTTTAAAAGTAGAGATTTTATGTTTCTTATAAGAAATCTTCAAAGCTAGAAACGATACAAATCTTACATGGTTTCAATTTATATGAAGTTCAAGGACAGGCAAAACTAATTACAGTGACAGAAACTAGACTGGTGATTACCAGGGGGAAAGGGTAGCACTGACTGGGAAAGAGGCATGAAAGAATCTGCTTAGGTGCTAGAAAAGTTATTTATCTTTATCTGGGTAGTATTTACACAGGTGTATACATATATACAGATTCATCAGTTTACTTAATATTTGTGCTCTTGGACTGTTTATGTATTGTACTGCAATAAAAAACAGTTTTAACATGTGACCCACATGAGGTTTGTAGCGCACTTCCACATTACTTCTTCTGAAGAGTTATACAGGGCAGATAGAAATGTCTCCATTTTATGGATAAGACACTGAGTGTGCTGGTCAAACTCCAGTGGGGAGTTTCGGTTGGGAACAGAGCTGGAATTCCTGTCACAACCACAGGCTTTTGTCCACTGCATCTGAGCTTTGTTCATTATCCAGCCATTTCCTATTCTTCCTGAGCTGTTAAGCAAGTTGAAGGCAGTATTTCACAGTGTAACCTGTAAGTAGTATAGCTGAATGGGTAGAGGGTTTTGGCAGAAGCAAAATCCCAGCATGTGTCACGCTTTAGGGTAGGAGACACAAGGCACCTGACATTTCCCTCCCCCCCCCCGCCACTAATGTAATGACATGAAGAGAACACAATCTCAGTCAGAGTTAGAGTGAAAATTTTTTTTTGAGTAGTCACACGGCTTTGAAGGTGGTGGGAGTGTTCTGTGGAGAATGATCTGTTACTCAACAAAGTCCCTAATAGCATCCTTCTTATCTGTAAATTTGATTTTCTTTCTTTTGCACTTCCATTTCAAAGACAATTGTCTCAGAAAGCTTTCCAAACTTTTTGTCAACTTAGTTCATCCAAATAGGAATATCGTGATGAAGAATATATACCAAACACTCAGAACAATGCTCCTTTTACCCAAGGTGATTTAGGTTCTAAAAACATTGTGGGTAATCTTGTCCTTAAGCCTCAGGTTAGTGGTGGCAGCAGTTGGTGAGGAGGGAGTTGCCTGTGGCTTTCATGATAATGTGAGTCAATGAAGAAGCTTAGATGCATTCCCCTGTTCTTCCCCACAAATCCCTAGAGTGACTAGTGTGCACTCCTTTTAGTGTAATCTCCACTCTCCTAAAGGGAAGGAGGGAAAGATCCCTGATACACCAGGTGAAATGGGAAGGTAATATACTAATTACCAAGTGGCTCATATGCACCAACCCCTATACTAGATCCTTTTAACATGTATTATTGCATTTAATTCTCTAAATTACTGTGCAAAATAGGTACTATTGAAACCCCTACATTCATTGATGAAGAGACCAATACTGTGACAGATTAAAAACATTTTTAAGGACACACATCTAGTAAGTTGCAGAGTTAGGATTCAAATCCAAGTCTGTCAGTTGCTAACTAAGACCTTTGCTTTTTTCCTTGACATAGAATCACTATTCATTATTCAGAAAGTCATTTATTAAGTGAGAGAGAATAATCTAGGTGGTAAGAGACATATATAGTTAACCATAGTTCAGAAAAGAAAGCATGTTGACAAGCTAACAAATACTGAGCACCACTTGAGTTAACCATTCTGTGCCAGGTACAGTGCTAGATTCTGAGCAAGAAGTGGTCTTTATTCTCAAGAATTTTATAGGTTTTTCTATATTGATGACTTAGCCAGCCATTTGAGGTTTTAGCCCCATCCTCTGTGACACTCTAGAAGAGTATCTCTTGTGCCAGGCATGGCAGTTCATACCTGTAACACTAACTACTTCGAAGGCAGAGATTGGGAGTATTGCAGTTTGAGGCCAGAGGCAAACAGAGAGACTCCATGTCAACCAATAAAAAATCCTGGACACGGTGGTGTGCCTGTCATCCCAAATACATGGGAAGCACAAGTAGAAGGATCACAGTTCAGGCTGGTCTGGACATAAATGCAAAACCCTGTTCAAAAAATACCAAAAAACCAAAAGGTCTGGATGCAGGATTCAAGTTTTAAAGTGCTTGCCTGGCAAGTGTGAAGTCCTGAGTTCAAACCACAAATAACACTAAAAAAAAAAAAGTGTCTTGCTGGAATTATAGAATACCTCAGAGTACCCGATTTTCTCAAAACCTAATTATTCTTTCTTGCTTTATCTTAGAATAAAAGAGGCAGTTACATCTGCTATAGGACACTGCTGATCACAGGGAATAACTTGATCTAATGTAAGGTCTCACATTGTCCCTGAATAACGACATTTAACATTTATTAGGCAGTTTTAGCCATAGGATAGAATGCATATGATTTTGTTCTCTTTAATAAAGGCAAATTTTAAGCTTCTAAAGAAAGACAAGCAATTTATATGTTTTACATAAACAGTTTGACAAAAAAGGGGGAAAAAAGAAGACTTCTGTTCATTCCCAAGGTCCTGATAGGAGAATTTGGCAATAAACCTACCTCATCTAAGTAGCAGTCTCAAAACTGGGTTATGGGGTGTATTAAGGTCCAAACCATTTGATATTTATTGGGTAGATGGGGTTCTGGAAACCAAACCAGCAACAGTTGCCATGAAGTTTTCAAATGCCTGTGTCGAGTTTATCTCAATAAGAGGGCTACTCTTTGGCTCCTGCCAATGTTTTTCTATTCTCTGGGTAAGAAAAGGATGCAGGAGAATTTTCTAGACCAGTATGTTGGCTATGTTACCAAGATGTTGAATTCTGTTGTTATGAGGCTATAAAAACACTGATGGGTTTTGTCCTCTTATGAAAAGGGTGGGTAGCAAGGAGAGGGGAACATACATACTGAGGCTGACACCATGTAGTAATCAAAACAACACAGAAGAGAGTATATTTATCTCGTGCAAAAATGGATTTTATAGGAGTGGGAAAGAATAGCCCAGTTGATGGTAAGAAAAGCTGCCCTTAAGCAAGAATGCCAGCCAGGATGTCTTACCTCATCTCCATTGGTAACTTTTGAGGAAGGGATTGATGGTTACTCAAGGTACACATGCACACTCTTCTGGTTGAAACTATACATTCAGGACTCTCAGTACTTTGAGAAAACTCCTGAAATTTGCTTTAGTATGAGAGTAGAAGTGAAGGAGTACATCCCACCACACTTTTCTCTTTGAGAAGGATAAGCCCAGTGTATCAATTACTTGACCCACCACCATTGAAAGTCCTTACTACAGAAGACTACTTTTTTACATACTGTGTCTTATCTTGTATAGCTCTTTAAAGCCTTTAGGATAGTTTGATGGACCTTAGCTTATTTAATCCTTTCAAGAGCTAATGTAAGTGAAGAGCACACTGTCCGTTTTTCTCAGATTAAGTAACTGAGGTGAGAAAATTTCCATCCAAGATCATAGAGAAAAACAGCAAGCCAGGTAGGGTGATCAACCATCCCAGTTTGCCTGGGGGTCTTAGATTTCAGTTTTAGCACTGAAATCTTTATATCCTGGGAAAGCTCTCTGTCTTGTGCAAACCAGAATGGTTGGTTATCTAATAGCCAGGATTAGAATCCACACATGCCAAATATCATTCCAATGCAAGTGTTTTACCCTGTGCCACCTGTCTTCCAAGAACTGTTATCTGAGTAATATTTCCCTTCTCTATGCCTTAGTGCACCAGGGTATTTTCTACATGCTGTCCCATTCTGCTTAGGACAGGAGCAATGGCAGCTATGATCCTCAGAGGTACTAGAGATACTATTGACAAAGGAGAACCAACCATATTTCAGCTTTTTTAATCCATAAAATAAAGATTATAATTCCTATACTGTTTAATGCACAGATATTGTACAAACAAAATAATATTGTACAAATAATAAATGTAAAAGTGATTATAAAATGTTAAGTGTTGATCACACATCAGGAATTGCAGCTATTCTGTATCCCCTGGAAAGAAGCCAACTGCTTTCTAAATTTTCTTTATAAATTCCGCTTATAGTATAATCACTAACTGAAAATTTCGGTAGTTCTTTGACCTCTGTGCCACAGTTTCCTCATCTGTAAAATGGAGTTGATATCATTGTTTTGAGAATTGAATGAGTACCCCCAAAGCATTTGGAAGAGTTCCTGGCACATGGTCAACACTCTAAAATGTTAGCTGTTTTGATTTTGTTTACTCAGCCCTCTCACTTAGAGGCAAGGAGTAGATTAAGAGGATTAGAAGCCAAGTGTGTCATGAAAAGCACTACTTACCTTGAAGTCCCTTCCTCTTAGCTCCCTAGTTCTTATGTTCTGTACCTACAGCCTTCTCACTATGGATTGCCAAGAAAATGAGTATTGGGACCAATGGGGTCACTGTGTCACCTGCCAACAGTGTGGTCCTGGACAGGAGCTTTCCAAGGTAAGTCCTCCTAATCAGTATACTTCTTTTCCCCACCCTAGGAACCAGACTGGCAACTGAGAGTGGCCAAGATTAGTAGCGTAGTCAGCCCTACTATGAGTGATCCAGTTTAGCAAGGAAAACATGTGATCCAAAGAGTATGCAATGACAATCACTATTTCAGCCTACAAGGATCAGGATCAGAAAAGGGTTTCATGAGATAATGGGCATTTCAAGGAGATATGTGGAATGCCGAGGCTCAGGAGGACTGTTTGGCATTAAAGAAATCATCTGCAAAGGCAAGGCCCACCTACTTGGGGTTCAGGAGCTAGATATCAGGTCTTCGGAATAGGGAAAAGAGAAGAACTGAGAAGGCTGATGTGGTATACTTCCTTGAGGGTCTGGGCTACTGAGGAAACTATGCAAGAGAGGATTCAGCGATAGGGAACCAGGGAGAATCTAGAATTCCAAAACAGAATGACCACTAAGGCAAAGTTGAGAGCAAGGATAGAGCTGTTAATTGTTCCTGCCTGTGGTCACTTTTTGGTCCTTGAATAGGAGTTGGTATTAAATTTGTGCTACAGAGAATGGAAGCAGAGAGCCAACAGATAGTTTCTGTGTTTTTTGTACTTTGTTGTATGCAATCATTCATTCATTTAGCAATTGCTTATTGAACACCTACAGAGTGGCAAATGTGGTTGTAGGTATCATGGTATGAAAAAACAGACAAAAGTAGTTGTCCACCTGACCCTTATCTTCTAATTGGTAAAATAAATAAAAATGAAGTAAGTGAGGAATCTAGATCTGAAGATATGACAAGAATAAAATTAGGATGAAGTGATACAGATTGACTGGGTGGCTAGTTCAAATTAGGAAGCAAGAGAAGACCTCCTTAAGAAGATGCCTTCTGGGGCAAGTATATATCCAGTACAGTTCCAAGATGACAATGAACTAGGTATGTTCAAAGAAGAGGAAGAAGATTTATGCAACTGTTTTATGGCAACTGAGAGAGAGGAAGAGTGTAACACAGTAAGAGGGAGATGGAGGTGTGAGCCAGATGGTGTGGGGACCTGAAGTCTATGATGAGAAATTGTCATTTTTTTTCATAAGTGCACTAGGAGCCCTTGGGAGGATTTTGAGGAAGAGTGACATGGCTTTGTGGCTGAAAGTAAATAAAGATTTTACTTAGCCCAACCCCTTCTTCCCTCTATACTTCAGAAGATATAGAGAATAAGATCCAGGGATATCAAGAGATATACGTATTAATTTTATTTGTAACACTGTCCCATAGTGGGATGCCCACATGGTTGATAAGGGATTCCAGGACCAAGAGAAGTCCTCCAGAGTTTAGGTCATGCAGGATATTAGTATGGACCCAGTGGAGTAAGCTGCTTGGTTTGACAAAAATCTGTTTTAAATATCATATGAATCCTCATGATAAAAACCTTATAAATGTCTTATTGTGTACATAGCTATTACCTTTGAAGACATCCATGTTTACAAAGCTGAATTTCTTGAACGGAAAAAATCATTCTGTTTTTTGTCAAACTACTGTTATAAACTCTTAAAAAGAAGCTCATGATGAAATGTACATTTAACTCAGTACCTCTCTGACTGCTGCTAACTTCAGCACCACAGAAAGCTCAGAGAAAATGAACAGATTGGATTATTGTGCTTCTGCAAAAGATTTATATGTGGATAACTTGTATTTTTCTGGTAGCATGCAGTTTGTAGAGCTCTCATGTACATTATCTCATTTGGCTTTATAGTAGTCCCACCAAGAAGGTATCATGAGCTCCATTTTATAGATGAGACAACTTAAGGCTCAAGGAGGATGTGTGATTTCCTTAGTCACAGTGGTACAGTAAAAAAATAAATACGAGAACTTTGGAGCTAGATACTCATGAGTGTGCACTAAGTTGAGAGTAGCATATTTCTGAAAAGAAGAAATACAAATGTCCAACAGGTATATTAAAAATGCTCAACATCACTAAAATCAGCCAAATGCAAGTTAAAACCATAATAAATTACATTTTATTTCAGTAAATGGCTAATATAAAAAGACTAAAGATAGCGAGGAATCAGTGTCGCATATCTGTAATCCTAGCTACTTAGAAGGCTGAGATAGGGAAGATCGAGGTTTGAGGCCATCCTGGGCAAATATTTCATGAAACTCCTATTTCCAAAATAATGAGAGCAAAATGGACTAGAGATGTGACTCAAGTGGTAGAGCACCTGCTTTGCAAACATAAGCCCTGAGTTCAAACCCCAGTCCCACCAAAAAAAAAAAAATAACAAGACTAAAGATAACAAGCGCTTGGAAGGATGTGAAGAAAGAGATCCCTTCTATACTATTGACAGAAAGGTAAATCAGTATGGCCATTATGGAAAACAGTATGGAGGATCTACAAAAAGTTAAAAATATGTGATCCAGCAATTCATTCTCTGGGCACACATCCACACAAATCAATAGGTTGAGGAAACACCTGCGGTTCTATGTTTACTGCAACACTATTCACATTAGACAAGAAATGGAAACAAACTGGGAATCTATCAACAATGAATGGATAAAGAAACTGTGGTACACACACACCATAGAATACTACTCAGCCATAAATAATATTCATTCGTTTTCAGCAAAATTAGTGGAACTGGAGGACATCATGTTAAGCAGGATATCAGGCACAGAAAGACAAGTACCACATGATCTCACTCATACGAGGAATCTAAAAAAGATTGATGCCATAGAAGTTGAGAGTGAAATGGTGACTGGGGACTGAAGGGGAGAGGCATGGGGGAAGGTTGATCAATGAGTACTAAGTTGTAGTTAGGTAAGATGAAATAGTTCTGGTGTGCATTTGCACAGTAGGATGGTTATAGATAACAATAATGCATTGTACATTTCAAAAAGTTAGAAGGAAGGATTTTGAACATTTTCCCCATAAATGATAAGTCTTTGAGGAGATGGGTATGTTTAATGTCACTGCATCTCAAAACATTTTATGTTATCCAATTAATATGTGCAATGTTTATGTTTTACATATCAGTTAAAAATAAATTTAATTAGAAAATAAAAAAAAACTTCATCAATAAGTTGTCTATGTTCAGAGTGAAAAACAGTAATATAAAGCTTAACAAACAGTGATTTCAACTATAAACACATTTATGTACCTATTAATGCCTGGAGACAGACAGCCTGTGGTTTACTGGGCAGATCAACAGTGTCATCAAGGACCCAGGCTTGTTTCATCTATATTGGCACCTTACTGTTTTGTCCTCATGCTTGTGGCCTCATGGTTGCCACAAAACAAAGTTCATGTCTATACACTATAAAGAAATGCAGGAAGCAGAGGCAAGATCAAAGTAGCTTGTCCTTTATTAGGAAAGAAGTATTTCCCTAGATGTCTGCCAGCAGACTTCTCCTTATATCTTATGGTCCAGATCTAGCTATCTCGATGGAGACTGGGAAAATGAGTATCTGGCAAATGAGGATGGTATTGCTATGCTTGACTAAAGCAAATTAGGAATCCATTCTTAAGGCTGGTCATCATGCCACCTAGAATGAAATCAATGTACTGCTAGTAAGGAAGAGGGCCAGTGATGTTTGGATAAGCAACTAACAACATCTGAGATAATTTTTTTGTCGGTTACCTTTATTGATTTTAAAATTTTACTCATAAATTATAAATATCCTACTGTAAATAAATCATAGCAGAAAATTAACATTCTTTCCTAAGGACATTTTTCTACAAGTATAATTGCTAAGCTAAATACAATTTTAAGATTATTGAAATATATTAGCAGATAACACTTTTCAATTTTTTTACTAATTTCCATTACAATTACATTCATTTTCCATAGTGCATAGATTTCCTATGTCCCCAAAGCCTAACCAAAAAATGAATAATACATGTTTCCATTGTCTATTAATTTTATGCTTTCCTCTGTAATATTAAATTACTAATTTATGAGGACTTTATGAGAATTTTGTTTTTACTTTTTTATATTTGATAGGGAGCTATACCAACCATTTTCTGTTTATTTGTCCATTTGCATTTCCAATATTCTGAACTGTTCCTGATTGTTTCTTTTTCTATTCTGAATATTCATTGTTTGTTGTTCATTCTCTACTCATGTAAGGCACCTGAATAGAAAGACATTGCTGAATGCAGAGTATTTTTTAATCCTTTATATAATATAAACAGATATATTTGAAATCAGAAATGGTTTTGAATTTTGTTTCATTTTATCATCACCTATGGACTTTTTCTTATATTTCACATATATTAATCAAATCCTAAAATTAAAATATTGTGCATTCCATAGATAAGCCATTTTTATTATAGTTCTCAGTTAAATACCCTTATATGTTATGTAAGTTAGTCCTTTTTTTAAGAATAAGTAACTATTCCTATACCACTTTCAGCATCAAAATTTTGTATCAGCATTGTGCTAGCATGGTAAAATTAAGAAGATCAGTATTTTCTGGTTATAAAACTGATTAGTACCAAAAGAATCTGGGGACCAGAATCATTTGAAAAAACTTCCTTTCCCTCCTAATTAAGCCAGGGAATTTTCAGTAAGATTTTTGATGATAATTTGCTCTTTTTTAGTTTTGTAAGAAATTATTCATCCACCTGGGCAGCTGGAGGTGTGGCTCAAGTGGTAGAGTGCCTGCTTTACAAGTGCAAAGCCCTGAGTTCAAACTCTAGTCCCACCCCCCCAAAAAAAAGAACTTATTGATCCACATATTTAAGAAATAATTATTGGGGCTATTTAATCAATTTAATAGTCTTTGATTTTTGCCTACTATGTCAATCTTTTCCTTTTAATAGGTTTCCTTAGATGATTTATACTTTGATATTGTAGAGCTTAAGTCTGCCATTTTATTGTTTGTTTTCTCTGTTCCTTGTTCTTCTCTTAGTCTTCTCTTCCTTTTCTTTAGAACTCTATCTTGATTTGTTTGTATTGCTTTTAGTGTATTTCTTCATATTATTTTCTTAGAAGTTGATCTGTGTATTATTACAGTATATACACTTGACTTTTCAGGGTCTGATGGTGGTAACATTTTACCATTTCAAGTTTAGAAACATCACTTCTACTTAAGTTTTTTTTGCTTTCACAGCTTTTAAATATCATTGCCATGATTATCAGACATAATATTTTGTCATATTTGTTTTAATCATCAACTACGACTTAAAAAATTTATGAAGAGAAAAATAGTTCATTTTATATAACCATATTTTTGTGCTTCCAGTGTTCTTTCCGAATGCTCCAAAATTCCTTCTCTTATCACTCCTTTCTGTTTGAAGAACTCCCTTTAACTATTCTATAAGGGTAGATCTACTAATAACATATTCCTTTAATTTTCTTTTGCCCTAAAATGTCATTGTTTCCCCTTGTTTCCTGAAGGATACTTTCACTGGATACAGAATTTATAGTTGACAATTCTTTACTTTCAATACTTGAAAAATATGCCACTTCTTTCTGGCCACCATGGCTTCAGATAGAAACCCACTGTCATGTGAATTGTTGTTCCTTTATAAGTAAAGTCCTTTACTTCAAGATTTTATCTTTGTCTTTTGTTTTTAAAAGTTTCATTATGATGTTTATTGGTGTGTATTTCTCTGGACTTACTCTTTTTGTGTTTACTCATCCTTTTGTGTCTGTAGGGGTTTTTGCCAAATTTATGACGTTTTCAGCCTTTGTTTCTTGGAAATTTTTTTCAGACACATTATTTTTCTTTTTCTTTCATGGGATTGTGATAAGATTGATCTTTTGCTGTAGTCCCTTAGTTCTCCTAGCTTTTGCTCATTTTATTTTCATTCTATCTCCTCCTGTTGTTCAAATTGGATACATTCTGTTCTATCATAGAGTTCACTTCTATTGTCTCTTCTAATATTGAACACATCCAGTGAATTTTTAAACATTTTTAAATTTTGATAATGTCCATCTGATTATTTGAAAATGAACAACTTCTGTTTCCATGCTGAGATGTTCTGATTTTCCTTTCATTTCAAGAGCATTTATAAGTCGTGTTGAAGCATTTTTATTATGGGTGCCTTAAAATCCTAGTATCTGATTTATCTGTTAATGTCAATTGATTGCCTTTTCTCATTCATGTTGTGATTTTCTTGGTTCTTGTTGTAAAAGGTGAAATTTTATTATATTCTAGACATTTTGTCCACTATATTGGAAGAGTTGGAGTCTTGTGTAAATCTTTCATTTTGGAGTCCCATGTAAATCCTGTGTACAAGATTCCTCTTGCTGGTGCCCCCTGACACCTGGTATCTTTATTTGTGGATATGGAATCTCAGGCCCATGGGGAAGAGATTTCCCAGGCTGGACAATTGTGACATCACCATTTATACCTCAAGTTTGCTTATTTTAGAAGTAGGGATGACAGTGCAACCTTAGAAGGTTTTATGGAGAAAAAACAAGTTTATAAGTCCACGAGGGCATGGATTTTTTCTCTTATTGGCTCAATCATTTAGTTACAATATGCAGGATAGCATTCTAGCATAAAATATTTGCTTAATAAGTGTTTTCTGAATTGATAGAGTGCTGTCCAATCTGTCAGTCAATTTGTTAGTTGAGTCTCAATAAATGCTAGCTGGCTTCTCTAACAAGTGAATTAGTGGAGGAGCACACTCAGTTCTTTTGATTCCAGTGCCCAAGGTATTATAAACATTCATTTTTCTTGAGAACAATAATAGGTTTTGAATTATAGTTAGGAAAGTTTTCTCTATTCTCAAATTAAAGAGAAAGTGCTTTTTGTCATTTTAGCATTTATATATATGATCCATTTGGAATTTTTCTTGTTTATAATGTGATGATTTAATCAAAGTTTGTTATTTTCACATGGCCCTTCAATTATTCGACTCAACTATTTAAAAGGCCAGTAAACTTTTTCCCTATTGATTTGAGATGCTTTCTTTGTTCATTTGGTTATCTCATGGAATCTTAACAAACTTGTGATTCGGGTCACATTATTTTTTGTTTTATTAGCAAGAAATTATGGCCCAGGGCCTTTCCTGAGATCACATGGCTGGTCAGTAGTAGAGATGGGAGTTAAAGCTAGGTCTCCCTGATCCTGGGTCAAGATGCTTCATCACAGCACTATATTTCTTATTACTTTGATCCTCAGCCCACCTTGTAAAGCAGATATGGCAGCTGTCATCATTCCAGTACTACACGTGAGTTAGCAGAGGCTCCAAGAGATTTTTTTGGATTTCCAAGAAATCTAGATTATGAGTAAAATGACTAGAACCCATGTCAGGCCTCTGATTTGCATTTGAAATTGGTTTTGGTTGATGGGGTCATTGTGAATGGAGCTATGAAACATTGACTAAGGTTAAAGTGAGCAAATAAAGGCATAAGATGACAAAAGTGTTTAGAGGCTAACATAGCTAATTGCTATAACAAATAAGTACCAAAATTTGGTAATATAATAGATTAAATATTTATTTCCTGCTGTAATTCTAGTGAGCATTGGAGAATGGGAAGATTTTTGTTATTCCGGAACTCAGCCTTATGGAGGCTTTGTCACTTTTCTCACAACTTTATTAAAATATATAGCACATACCATACAATTCACCCACTTAAAAATGTGTTTGGTATATTGCATTATTAATTTTAAGTTTTGGTAAATATGTCACATAATATGTGCTATGTAACAATTTTAAATGGACAACTCAATAGCATTAATCATATGCACAATATTATAAAGTCATCAGCACTATTTATCTCTAAGTCTTTTTTCATCATGCCAAATGGAAACTCTGTAACCATTAAGTAATAACTTTGGAAACAGGTATGACTGGCATCAGACAGGAGCTTTGTTCCTATTTAGGTTAGGCTGTTAGAGCTGAAAGAAATTGTATAGTCCATGTCTTCAGGTGTTCAGATCTCTGGTGCCCAGAAAGCATGGGGATGAGAGAACTGGCCAGAACATCACTGGGTTGATACAGTGCTGAAGCAAGACCCCTCTAGTTCATTCCCATCTCCTCTATACCATTGGCATTCAAACATTTATGGTGATGACCTGGAGTAAAAATAATTTTTAATCACAATCCAACACATTTACATATACTTTATCTTTAAAAGTTTTAGAAAACAAAGGTGGGTAGTAATTATAGCTATTTGTCAGATATTTACAGCTCCTTACCTGGTACACTGTAGAATTGCACTCTTTTATAGTTACTAATAATCAGTTGATATGTGTAGTCTAGGACATATGAACAAAGTGAAATGGGTTATTTCTTGAGGAAAATTGTAAGATCCAATGCACAGTTCACAATATTCTATTTTCCTTGATGCTCCAGTCATAGCAGAACAAAGATGAAGCCTCCATTACTGTGGGTGCCCCATTGAGAATAATGTAGAGCCCAGCCCTCAGGAAATTCCTGGTGGACAAATATCATGAATGAGAAATAAACTTTTCTTCTTTAAAGTCACTGAAATTTGTGGTTTGCTTTTTGCCATATTATAACCTAGCCTATAGTGACTAATATATTCTTTTTTGCTCTATTACAATTTTCGATGTTGGCTGCAACACTGAATTGATTTTGTGACCTGATAATGGAGTCACAACTTGAAGTTTGAAAAATAATATTCTGTACCATGCTCACTTGTCCCATAGCTGAGTCTCTCTTTAAACTCCTATAGAGCAGTGCTAATGACTCCCATCTGTTTGTAGGATTGTGGTTATGGAGAAGGTGGAGATGCATACTGCACAGCTTGCCCTCCCCGAAGGTACAAAAGCAGCTGGGGCCACCACAGATGTCAGAGTTGCATCACTTGTGCTGTCATCAATAGGGTCCAGAAGACCAACTGCACAGCCACCTCTAATGCTATCTGTGGGGACTGTCTGCCCAGGTGAGTTCACTAAATTTGGGCCAAGATAATCTGGGCCTTTTATTTTTAGCTCTTTGTTGCTCTCTATTAGCTTTACCTATCAGAACCTAGTCAAAGTATTCTAACTATCCACATATTTAAGCTCCCAGAAGATAGAAACAGTGTCTTCCTATGATTCCTCTGGGAAATGGTCAGAACAGTATTATCCACAGCTTGTTCCCATTCTGGCACTCTTATCCCAGGCCTACTATTTAAGGTAAATCTCACTGTAAACTTAAAAGGAATTATGAAGCAGTTGGTATCAAAGCAATGGTCCCCTGTCTTGTGCAGTTAGCTTCCGTTTTAGCTATAGGGTGTGGTGAATGGGGGAAGAAATAGAATGTCTGGGCCTGTGAATCAGAATTGTACATGGAGACAGAGAGTTCCTGAGGAGTAGGCACTGGCTTTCCTAAGGGCAAGACTTTTAGAAGCTGTGTATGGTCCCTAGAACCGCTGACCTAAGTGCATTGCTTGTTTCATCACACTGCCATTCCTTATTGCTCTGACCACAGGTTCTACCGAAAGACACGCATTGGAGGCCTGCAGGACCAAGAGTGCATCCCGTGCACAAAGCAGACCCCCACCTCTGAGGTTCAGTGTGTGTATCTACTTCTTCTCTCTTATTTCTTCCTTAACCCATTGAGTGGCAGAAAAATAGGATAATAAAGACTTCTCCTTTACTCCTGGAGGAGACAGATACCCTTAGTACTACTCCTTGGAGTATTGTAGCAGGGAATCAGGTTTGATCCTGGTTTTAAACACAGTACCTATGTAATACAATCATTTCAACTCATTGAACTCTTTCCCTTATCTGAAAAATGTGACATAACAAAACAGTTTTCCTTACCTTATGGGATAGTACCAGGTCTAGTGAAATAATGGATGTTAAAAAGCATTTTATAAATTATAACATGTGTACACATAATAGATCATCATCATCATCATTATGGAAAATATATTGAAGTACCTAGTTCTTAGGACTCATCAAAAACTGAATAAAGAACCAGGGTCTAGTCTATAGTTATATCACTACCCATTTATGTGTTTGTCTTTCTGTCATTTTTGTCTATCCACAATCTATCTGCTCACTTACTCTTTTTAAATCATTGAGATACTTCCTGAAATCATTAAACATTTAAAACATAGAAATATTTAAATTGTGGAGAAATTTAAAAGTTAAAATGCTCAGTTACTCAAGACTCTAAATAATAAATCTTAACATTTTACATATTTGCTTCAGATTAAAAGAAAAGATTCCATAGGCATAATTTAGACATAGGAATTTAGACTCTATCTGAATTCCATTCTCTCCCTACCTCCAGAGATACAACCACTGTCCTGAAATTGTATGCATCTTGTTGGTAAGCTATGCTACAGTTGCAAAGAAATTCCCAAATTCCATAACTTCATACATTAAAAGTTTATTTTTCACTAGGCAAAAGCATTCTTCCATTATGTGACTATACCTTCTAGACAATGTAGCTTCTAGGTCACTGACACAGGGAAAGAAGTGGATGAGACATACTGGCTCTTAGTTGCCTCAGTTTGGAAATGACATACATTTTTATACTCATAGTTCATTGTCCAGAAGTACTCTGATGGCCTTACTGCAAGAATGTAAGGGAGCCAAGTGCCAGTGGCTCACGCCTGTAATCCTAGCTACTCAGGATCAGAGATCACAAAGATAGTGGTTCAAAGCCAGCCAGAGAAAACAATTCCTAAGACCTTATTTTCAAAAATACTCACACAAAAAAGGGTGGCAGAGTGGCGCAAGTGGTAAAGTGCTTACAGCAAGTGCCAGGCTGAGTTCAAATCCCAGTATTTGCAAAAAGTAAAGGGTTGGGGGAGTGCAGGGGAGCATGTAGATAATGAGTGAGGCTGTGGCTCTGCCATTTTTCACTAATGTTTAATACTTATTCTTTAATCATGTATATTCATATTCCTAGGAAATCTATGTCATTATATTGTTATTTTAATAATTTTAGAAGTGATATCGATCTAGATACTCTGCCAGTTTTCTCCCTTCTGGAATGTATATGAATTCATAAAAAGATCTTTTACTTTAGGTGCTTATGTATAGGTCCCAAGGTTATATCATGAATTTTTATCCTGTGCTTACTGATGAACATTTTAATTTAGTTCTAATTTTCTAGCTTATATAACTGGATGTGGCATGGAAAAAACAAAGGATATGTGCATTTTCAGTTAATTATACCATACTTGCAGCATATGTGAGTTCTTTTGCATTTTCTTTTTAATTTTGTGTCCTCTACAAATAAGAAAAACTAGCATGCCACCTAATTGAAGAAGGTCCTAGGAAGAAAGTGAGGCTAAGGAAGTACAGACCCAGTGACTGTTGACGCTCCATTGACTCTCTCCTCAACTTTTTTTGTCTACAGGTGCCTTCCAGTTGAGTTTAGTGAAGGCAGATGAACCCACAGTGCCCCCTCATGAGGCCACACTTGTTGCACTAGTGAGCAGTCTGCTAGTGGTGTTTACCCTGGCCTTCCTGGGGCTCTTCTTCCTCTATTGCAAGCAGTTCTTCAACAGACATTGCCAGCATGGTAAGGGTAGCTGCCCCGCATTTCACATATGTCAGAAATAAGGCTCTTATTGGCAGGAGAGAGGAATTTCTTGGGATTGAGAATTAATGCGCCTTCCCTACCATGCTAGCAAACTCCAGAGGTGGTCTTCTACTGGCCCTGGGAAGTATCTTTGACAGAAATAGAAAGCATGGGACTTTAAATGTGACTGAGAGTTTAAGGGACCTGGTTCATGTGTCTTAGGGATTCATAATGGAACATGGTATTATGGTAAATCTCTTGGGGATCCCAGCTTCTAAATCTACCTTGAAGTTACTGTGTAACTTTAGACAAATCATCTAGCTTTTTGGGTCTTTTTCTCTCTAATCTTTAAAATAAAAGATAGGATTGGATTTGTTGTTTTTGCAGTTACTTTCCCATTTTGCATATCTATACTAATAGGCATAGATTCTGGAACATGTCAAAATGGAAGAAGACTTGGCTATATCTGAGACATGACTAGTAAAAGTAGGTGGGGTCTAAGGCAACTACTATTGGTGTAGTAATTTCCCAAAAATGAGGTAACCAAAAGCCAAGTGTTTATTTGAAACTTAGACTTTTTTTTTGCCCCAGACAATATTGATGACCAAAGACATCTGGCCTAGCCCGTAGGAGATAACCATGTGAAGTTTCAGATAGAAGGTCATATTTCAAGTTCCAATAACAATTGTAATCTGTTTCCAGCACAACTTTATCCATTAGTCAATAATTTGAGACAAAAAGTACAGTTCATTGAGGGAAAATATGGAGGAGAGGGATGGTTGTTGGTTAGGACCAAGCAAGATGTTAGAACTCTAGCCAAGAGTACAAAGGTTCAGTGCAGACTCAGTGCCGTTAAGTGAACTGAGAACTAAGCAGGGACACCAAAACAGGAACTCAGACTAGTGAATGGAGTTTGAGTAAAGTGTACCAGATACAAAGACACTCAGGAGTATTCCTTTGCCTCCTGGATACTGGGCTTGAAGAAACACTAGTTTTTGGTTTTTTATTTTTTTAGTCTCACTCCTCTATTTGTCTGGGAAAATTCCTTTTATGTAGAGCTGCCTTTGTCAGTTTGGCTGCGGGACATCCCAAACATTCTTGAAAAGTCCCAGTAGTTCTATTTGAATATGCCCTGGCTTAAATAGAAATGAATATAGCATTTCATGGGCTACAGTGTTTTCCTATTGACTCTTTATGATCCTTCTCAAATTCAAATTCAATATCCTCTAACTCTTTGGTACCTTGTGGACCATTGTGACTTAGGGTGAACCATCCTGTCTGTAACTTTGGAAGCTGGTGTCTGATGTAAGAGTTGCCGAGACCCTGAGCATGAATCATAGGCAATGAAGCATTTAGACTCAGCAAAATGAATATGAGGGAGCATCTGGGCACTGCCTGTCTCCCCTCTCCTCTTCTATCCTCAAGATAATAATGTGGTAGCCTTCTGGGAATATGAGGGCAAGGAACTTCCTCACAGTCTCTAAGGGGAAGAAGGGCTAGTCAGTTCCTCATTTTGGGAAGATGTTTATTAGGTGTTACTGACAAGCAAACAAGAGCTACACAGGTGAGAAGAGAGAAAGGGAGAGAGAGAGAGAGAAATTAAAAACTACAAAGAACATCCCCTACCTAAAGGGGAATCTACTACTCAACTCCAGCTCTTTATTACCTTGCAGGAATACCTTCCAATTTTTTCAAGAGATTCCAGAAGTCTGGATTTTTATATGAACACTGGCAAATAATTTCAATAAAGAACAAAACCACCACCACAGTTGGGAAAAATAAACACACATCCAGTAAGCACTCAGTTGGTAACCTGATGTTAAATCAGACTCATGCATGAAGGGTATATTACTTTTATGGCATAACAAATTATCACCCACATGTTTTGACCAATGCCTCCCTTCTGTTTTCAAAACTAGCAATGGTGGGTCTTAAAACATCTCTATAATCTTTCTTTCTCCGTTCTGCCTCCTGCTGCTTTTAAGGACATGTGATTACATTGTACCCATCTGAGTAATCCAGAATAATCTCCTTGTTTTAAAGTCTCTTACCTTAATTCTACCTGCAGAGTCCTTTTTGCCATATAATCTAATATACACAGATGTAGCCGTAGGGTGATGAAAATCATGGTGGGGAGAAAGATGTCAAAATCTGTGTTCCACAGAACATTTTTCTTTTTTTTGAAAAAATTATTTTCCCTAATCAATCATTAGGTATCCTCAATCTAATAACCCAATGTAAGTACATTTCTCAGATATGTCAACTCAGCCTGATTTTAGGTAGTTTGGTCCCCAGGGAGAGCAATGGGAGCACTGGCTCCCAGATGCCCTCCCTATTTTGTTTGAGAACCAGGTGCTCTGCTGAGAAGAGACCCTGCCTTTGGTGACCCAGTAGTTTTCTGTTTCTAGTTGCAGGAGGTTCGTTGGAGTTTGAGACTGATGAGATAGCAGAGGAGGAATCTCTCTTCCCCATGCCACCTGGCCAGGAGACCACTCCTGAGTCCCCAGTGAGTGAAAGCATCTTTGAAACCCAGCCACTTAACCCCATCCTGGATGATGACTGCAGCTCAACTCGTGGCTTCCCCACCCAGGAGTCCTTTACCATGCCCTCCTGCGCCTCTGAGAGCCACTCCCACTGGGTCCACAACCCCATCGAATGCACAGAGCTGGACCTGCAAAAGTTTTCCTGCTCTGCCTCCAATACTGGAGCTGATACCTTGAGAGGGAATACAGCTGAAAGCTCTGGAGACAAGCTGGAACTCAATGTGCCTTTTGAAGTTCCCAGCCCTTAACTCTACTGAGGTGAGCTGGAAAGGTGGGGTAGAAAGAGCAGAAATTAGTGGCTACCCTCAAGGAATTTTCTTTTCTAGTATTATTGTTCAGTAGGGCTAGGGGTAAAGGAACAGCAGCAAGCTAGGTCCCTAGCTTAGTGAGTAGAGGGGAAACTGCAGTGATACTAATCTTTTGAGCCATTCAGACATCAAACTTGTAGGTCTCCAATTGTCAGGGAACCGGACCACTTGCCATGACAATAGTCCCTTGCAAGCTCTCTCAGGGCTTCACTGTTTACTAGTCATATTCAATTATGTCCTTTCATGTATACAAGAAACATAGTACAATAGAAAAAATATACAAGCCTTGTCATCTGGCAGCCCTATATTTTAAATCAACCTCCATTCTCTAGTAGCTGTGTGAGCCTTGTGTAAATTCTTTCACTTCTTTGAGCCTTAGACCCTTCACCTGTAAAAAGAAAATACTACCCACCTCATAACTTATTGTGAGAGTTGGATGAAAACATATGTGCAAGTGCCTTTTACAGTGTCTAATGCACTAGCGGTATTTAAAACATGTTAGTTTTTTCATTCTCTTTCCTGCCACCACTCACAATTTACTCACCCTTTTCATATGTACTATGTTTATCTGATCTTCAAAACATCATGACTTTGTGGTAATTAGGTTGTAATATATTAGTCTTATTTTATAGAGGCAGGAACTGAGACACAGAGAGGGGAAGTGATTTGCACAAAGTCACAGAACAATCCATTGGTAGAACTAGGCTAGAGCCCAGGCTTGGGGGCTCTATTACAGAGTTCCTCCAACTCCACTATTCCAACTAATCCATAGTCGCTATTACGTTCTCAAAGACTTAAATATGAGACAGGAGAGTAGGTACATTTTTAATTTTCAACTAACCAACTTCTTTCACCACTTATTTCCATATTTCTTCAGTGAAGACATTGCCAGGACTCCCATGACTTCCTCTTCCCCATATCTTATCTAAATATGTGAACAAGATACAGAGGAACTAATACAGAAACCTTAAAGTGACAGAGGTCAATATGAGAAGGGGATCAGGAACTAGTGAAAAGGCCAGTTAGAGATGAATCGACTTGGGATGTAACACATTTGTACATGGAAGCAATGCTAGGAATCTCTCTGTATAGCTATCCTTATCTCAACTAGCAGACATGCTTTGTCTTCATTATTGCTTATGTCTTCTCTTCAACAAAATTAGAGATAAGGGCAGAACAGGTTCTGCCTGGAAGTGAGGAGGGGTGGGGGGGGAGAAGAAGGGGGCAAGGGGTAGGGGGGAGAAATGGCCCAAACAATGTATGCACATATGAATAAACGAATAAAAAAAATCCTCAACTAGTAGCAAACCAGTCAGCCTATATACATTCAAAGTTGCCTAGTCCAATATTCCCTCTAAGGTCTTCAATCCATGTCTAGTTGCTTTTTAAAATATTCATCTTTTATACAAAATGCTTGGGAATGGAAGTATTTCAGAATCTGGGGGGAGTTGGATTTTGGAATAGTCACATATACAAATGAGTTATCTCAAGCATACAACTAAAGACTAGACCAAAATTCGTTTATGTTTCATATACACATTTTATACATAGCCTAAAAACATTTTTACATATTTCATGCTTTCATTTTTACTGTGATCAGATGTGGAATTTTTTCTTATTTTGGGGGTCCTGACGGTGCTCAAAAACTTTTGAAGTTTGGAGAATTTGGGATTTTGGCATTTTGGATTAGGGATGCTCAACCTATTTTCCCACAAAGTTCTTGTAGTCCTTACTCAAATACTTGGAGTGGCAGGTAGCTCACTATTGCCCAATGTGTATTACAACCCTAACTGGGAGATTTGAACCCAATATAAAGAAAAAATTTTCTGTCTCCCTGTAGTACCCACCTATGGGTCTGTTCCTTGGGCCACACAGACCTCATCTGCGTCCTCTGCCTTGTGATAACCCTGCAGAGGCCTGACGACAACATCTCCCCTCTGGAAGGTACCACTTTAGGTTCATCTAAAATATGTGGGGCTTAGAACTAAACCCAGTTTCATGAAGAATGATCTCACCAGTTTAGAACAGGGTAGAATTTTCATCTTCCCAGCTAGGTATTACTGCTATTGCATCTTAACCTATTGGTCTAGCCCATGATTTGGGGGGGTAGAGAGAGTAGGGAGGTAGTGAGAGTACCTCACAGATTTCTAACTTGCTCTTTTCTCTGCCTAGGTCTTTTGAGCTCCTGACAGCCTGGACTCTCCTCCCCTACCATATCAGCAGCAGGGGCCTGGGATGTGGTATCCATGATATCCATGTGGTGGAGGGGGCTTATCTTACCCCTCCACCATTTCCTCAAGTCTGACCAGCAGCATTTATTGCTTTTCTGTTATAGCCTAGAGAGCTAAATTCCCCAGGCATGGGACTACTGGACATGTGCTTAACTTGAATTGATTACAGAGAAGAGAGGAGGGAATAACAATGAATGGGTTATGGTTTTCTGGCCTGCGTTTTTGGTCAGGTAGGCCTGAAGGAGGGGCCTCTCAGAACTCTGTTGGCATCTCTGAGTACTTTAGACACAAAATGAAACCTTTTCCCTTTTAACTCCTCTTCATTGCTTTCATCCTCAATACACCACACACTCACACACGCACACATTGGGGAAGGCCCAATGTCTTGATTCTCTAACTCATGTCCTAGACTTATGTATCTGTAATAACTCTTAAGCCAGCACACTTGTCAGGGTCCTCCTCCTCACAAATATGTCTCTGCCCCTCTTAAGTAGAGATTCAAATCAGTGTTTTGATTTTTAAAATGTTCTTTGCTAAAATTTCTTTTACTTTTCTCTTCTAGTCTTTCCTGTTTTGTCTAGTGCTTATGCTGGTCTTCTAAAGCCCCAAACATAGTCTCTAGATCCTCAGGGTCAAATTAGAGCTAAAGCTTTGGACTTTGAGATGACAATGAAGTTCCTGAGGCCTGAGAGTAGGTCAATGAGGAGCTAAGGTTCTCAGTGAAGCCTTACCTTAGGGCAGCTCAGGGACCATTTGGTGCTTTCTTGGTTTAAAGAAAAGCCAGTCTCTCCTAGGCCTTCACCATCAGTTTCACATTTCTTACCATGAAATGGAACTGCTTTCTGGTGGAACAGGGCAGATGAGACTGGTTTATAAGTTTCCTCATATGTCCATAACAGGCCACTTAAAATGATACTTACTCCCTCATAATGAGTCAGGTTGGGAAGGAAAAAGCAACTGGCTCCTTTGCTTGGGAGAAGTTTATACAATCCAGGATGTTAGATGTCAATTAATTTGTAAAAGCCAAGAAAAGATTGGGTAGTTATCATGAGTTCAGAGTATTGAAATCCACTACATATGTGGGTGCTGTACCTTATATTTTGCACATCCCAAGCATCATCTCATTGGCTCTTTACATATACTGTGAAATGGGAAGGCAATGATTAGCATCTCCAGTTTATAGATGAGGAAACTGAGGTTTAGGGATAGAAAGTGACTGACCTTAAGTTGCTTAGTAACATAGGAGTGAATAGCAAGGCTTTTAGGGCCTCTTTAATGTCTTGAAATCTTTTTCTGGGAGACATTGTTTGGAGATAGGAGGATTTTTATTTTCTTGGCATATCTGTTTTGTTTTCTTGGCAAATCTTTTCTTCTTCTTGGAAGGAAAAAGGGTAGAGAAAAAATAAGGCCCTCCTGCTTGCTTATAGGTGAGATAATGTCTTTGCCACCACCCCAAGACTGACTTCCCACTTTCCATAAATTGCCCCCATCCCCTACCAGCAGCCTGGTATATTTTTGCCAAGTCTAAACCCAGTGAGAAGCTTAGAGACGTTCCATTTAGCATTGTCCCACAAGAGGTCAAAAAGTGAAGATTATAAGACCAGACGGACTCTTCTCGCCTATCCTATCTCCCTTCGTCCCTGAGATCAGAAAGAGGAGATAAAGATGGTAGAAACATCATTGTGCTTGTCTTTATCCTCTTCATCTTTTGTGCAATTTAAGAAACTCTGATTTTAGTTTGGATTATTTGAGGTTCAACTTTATTTAAAGTTGAGAGGAGACAATTATTTTATCTTTAAAAGCTTTCTGCAAGTAGGTTGTATATTTTATACAAACTGTCAATAATAATACTTCTGTGCTTTACATTTTTAAAAGATTCACTCATACATAATGTATATTTTAAAGATGAGGAAATTGAGCAAGGCCCAGACAATAGTGACTTACCCAGAGAAATTCATATTTGAGAAAGTCTGCCCTACACATTCACCCCAGGCCCAAGTGTGGATCTTGGGTATTGAAAGTATAGGCCAGGAAAGGGCAGGTGGATTAGAAACTGCTTTCTTGGCTATGGCAGAGGAGCAAGCAGAGGGTTAAAGCGCTACCTTAATTCTTCTTTAAATTTTTTTTACAGCACTGGGATTTGAACTCAGGGCCTCATGCTTGCTAGGCAGACGCTCTACCACTTGAGCAACTCTGCTAGCCCTGAAGAGCTGTCTTAAGTTATTTCTTCTCATTTCACACTGCCTAAATGATCTTTAAAAGACATGGTTGCTAGGTGTGCTGTCACACACATGAAATCCCAGCATCTTGGGAGGAAGAGGTAGGAAGAAGCCAACCTGGGGACACATGGACAGTTTCACACCAATCTGAGCTGCAGAGGGAAACCCTGTCTTTAAAAAACAAGGGCTGGGGATATAACTCAGTGGTGAAAAGCTTGCATAACATGCATAAGGCCCAGCACCACAAATAAATAAAAGATAAGTGAATATTTTAGGAGATTAAGACATCCCATTTCCACCACTAGGAAAGTCAGCTGACCCCATAGTTTTTTAAAGTGTTGCTGAGGCAACATGATTTGGGCCTGAGGTGTGGTTCAAGTGGTAGAGCACCTGTCTTAACAGGTGTGAAGCCTGAGTTCAAACCCCAGTACCACCAAAATAAAATAAAATAATTTTTAAAAATCTATAATCTTTCAGAAATCATCCATAATACCAATGCTATAAAAAATGCTACAGAAAAATACCCCATGAGTTCATCTGCATCTTAGTCCAACTGGGACAGAATGGAGGAGCTTTTTGCTTTTCTTTCCCTTTAGCTCTCACTACCCCCATGCCTGTAAGTTTTATTTTTTCTACCTACTTCCATGTCCCATTATATTCAAAGCACTTCCTTGGTCATCTGGAGGGTCCTGTTTGAAAAGCAGTAATCCAGAGTTACAGCATAAGACAGGGGAAAGGAAGTTTCCTTTGGGTCTCCTGGGCCTCATCCTATATTTGAGGTGCGTATCTCTCTAATCCTAGCAGAGAGCAGGCTTGAGTTGGCCCACTTAGTATGATGTAAAACATTTCTAAGCCAAAGTGGCCTTCCTTTTGAGACTTGAATTTCACAAACAATGTCCCAGCAGTCTTGCAAAGAAACTTCCCCAATCCATTTGGGGTAGATGAGTAAGGAGGGGAAAAAGACCCTACTGCCTTTCTATTAATATGTCAGTTGGATTCCAATGTCCCACTACTTCCCCTTTGATTCTTTTTGGAGTGTCATTTTTGCCTTGAGTCCCATGTATACATCTCATGGTCAGAGAAAAACAAACTCCTTGGAGGTTATATTCTTTGTTATCTGAGAATCTTTCTGAGGCTTGTACAGCTTTCCACAAGTACTTGGTGGTTAATTAAGTACCTTAGTCAGAATGGGCACTTCATCATGAGGTCCAAGCCCTGGCAAGGAGTGTTTTCTGCAGCAAGACTTCTACTTTTAGAATTTTATTAAATGCATCTTTGAGAATAGTTCATCTACAAAAACTTATTAAGAGCCTCTGGGGCAATGCATTGACCAGGGTGCTAAAAGCACCTAGGTAAAAGCAAAAAGGTCCCATTGTACTGGACAGGGGATTAGAAGCAATTGAATTGCAAGCCTGTACCAAGCAGACTAGCCTCATACAGGTATTAGCAAACAGGTGTGAGCCAAGGTTTAGGCCTTGGCCTTTAGTTTCTTTGTTCCTTTTATTCTAGGACAGTTTATTCTTATCTCACCAACTTTAATTAATCATGTCTGCACCTGCTGGTAGGGGAAGAACTAGTACCCAATAGGGGTGATTCAGCCTAAGTAGACCCCAGGTGTTCAAAGGTCACCATGTGTCTGGCAGTGGTTCAAACTCAAGTCTAACACTGCTTCTCAGTAAGAAAAATAACAGTTATAATACAATAATAACAACAAGAATATAAAATGACACAGGCACTAGTGCTTATAGCATGAACACTGTGTGACCATACTCAGAATCACTTTGGTTTCAGTTTTCTGAAGTTCTACAGTTGGAGTTAGGAATTGGAATAGGGTAGAGAAATTTTGTTTTGCTTTGCTTTCTAAGGTTTCTTGGGAAGAGGTAAAGTGAAGGATACTTTTTTTTTAATAATTGCTCTTTGGCCATGACTGCTGTCATGTTTGAGTGTTTGCTTCCAGAAGATTCCTTCCAAAGGTTTTCTTTTCATTCGTTAAACTGGAGTCATCTTTGTTTGAGCACTATGTTTTTATGTGTCTTTTCCACTTGGGGGGTTACAAGACAGTAGAAGCACTTAATAAAAACATTTTCAATGTAGCTATGGGCCTAGATAATAGTTGAGCTGCCTGTATTTGAAGTAGCAAAAGAAAGTTCTTTTTGTTTGTAAAGAAAGGGGAGGTGTCTGTTGGGGATGAGTTTGGGATTTTGGTTCACTATTTTCCTCTCCATACACTTTGACTTTGATTTTAACAAGAGGTAGTATGGGAGATCAACTTTGTCCTCCAAGATTCTCAAATCCAGGTTAGGTAAAGGTGTCAATACTACAGCACCACCCTTCCCATCACACAGACCTGCCACACTGAGATGATCATCCTTCCTGTCCTTCTCCCAACTCTCTACCAAGGTTTTTGGAGTTGTGCTACATTGAATGTAGGTACATTTAATTATCTTTTACCTTATAAATGAGTTATTTATAGAGATTTTATTAAATCTTGAGCCATATGCATGTGTGGATACTGGCAGGCTTGTGTTTGGTTTGTGATACTCTGAAAACATTTCATATTGGCCAATAAACAGAAATACATACAAATGCCTTGTTTATTCCTCTGCTTTCAGAGAACCAGGGTGACTCACTTGGCTGATGTGCCTGCTCAGTAAGTGCAGCAAGGAAATGCGTTTCTGATCACTGGATGTAGAACAGGGGTGGTGGGTTTCACTGACTTGTCATCCAGGAGATCTGAGTTATAGTCTAAACTCTTTCATTTTTTGAATTGTTTATGATATTTAGATTATTGTCTGGGTTATAGATCTGCTAGAAACTCTTATGTTCTAAACTATACTTCTCAAAGAGGGTTCCATAAGAAGACTATGTATATATCTTCTGAAGTCTGCAAAATCTCGTGAGTTTGTGTGTATGTGTGCATGTTTTCCTTTTGATCATATTATTTTAAAAAACAAGCATATTCTAGCTAGACTATCTGGATGATTATCTCTTAAGAGCATTGTTGTGCCATTTAGAATCTGTATTTGTGTTTACAATATAATTGAATTCAAGGGACCACTAAAGGAATAGGATTTAATTTTGAATGCTATGTTTTACTATATTTTTTAAGAACTGGAGAAATCAAGTTTCCTCCAATCTTTAATATTCTCTGATCCTGTCTACAAAACATTGACAAGGTTGTAGGGAAATGAAACTACAAAGTGGTACAACCATTTTTGAAAACAGTCTGACAGTTCATCTAAAATTTAAAGCAAGAAGCAGAAATAGTACAAATGTCCATAAACTGATGAATGGATAAACAAATTATAGTACAGACGTATAATGGATTATTACTCAGCAATTAAAACAATTAAACTTCTGATACATGGTGTGCATAGTAGAACCTCAAAGCATGTTAAGTGA